GATACCATGGGATGGGGGGGAGGGGGGGTGTGGCAGCCCTGCGTCATACATACGCACACACACTGACACATCCGCCTGTCACTGTTCATGGTGCAGCAGTCGCGCCCGCGAGGTGCGGTTATGATGACAACACAGATGAGCGGTCTTGAATTTGGTTTTGGCATGAGTCGCCCATGCGACATGGGTGACGTTTTCAAGTCAGGTCGCCGGACCAGGTGATCTGAGCTCATTCTATGAGCCGGTTTGAATGAGTCAATGCATCAGGAACCGGAGAGAGAAAGCCGGTTTGAGACTGGTTTCCAGCCAGTGACCCAGACATGAAGTCCGCTGCGGCACTGAGGGCCGCCGGCAAGACACCGAAGATGGGCTTGGAACTCACTCGCTTCTGGCCTTTGATGGCCTGTGCACTGTGACCGCTACAGGACTGGCGCTGGTAACAACAAAGGACCGGCACCACGTGGCTGACGCTGCCTTTCGCCTCTCGCAATCTTTGCAAGGACGTGGCCTCCGAGCATTTCAATCGGAGAAGGATGAGGCTCACACTGTTTTTGTTTCAGCTGGTGGCGACTGACATGTCTTGTCACAGGGACTCATCCCCAAGAAGAAGACGGAAGATGAGGTCCTTGGTACGGCTTCTCGGGTTCTGCCGCGTGCAATCTGGGTAACCAAGGCGGTTGAGGCTGCACCTGCCAAAAAGGCACGTGGCCAACAACCAGATGCAGCGGTGCACCGAGTCAAACTGTATTTGTGGTTGGTGTCGGCCTCCATTCAGCCATGACAAAGGGCCCCTCATGACCCCTCTGCTCGTCTCCGGCATTAGCACGATGTTTGATGGAGCGCACGGTCTTCTTTCTGCTTTTGAATCGCTGGCCGGAATCCAAGCAATTTCTGCTTTCATGGAAAACTCGAAAATACTTCAAACTGGCTTGTCGAGCTGCCTGCAGCCCAAAGATGGAATTTCCAGGGCCTGGAAGGCATGTCTGCAGAGGCGTTCGACACTTCAGGTGTGGCACCCCTAACCACGTCCATACTCATTTTCGGGTGCTCCAGTTCGTTCGCTCTAGTTGTCTCCAGTTCTACCGACGCGAGTATATCGTTGTACAGACAGTTTCCATCCCTGACATGAGACTATAAACATCTATAAACGTTCCAAAGATTCAGATATGCAAGGGTCTGCAGGGCCCGGAAAGTTCCGTCCAGCAACATGCTGGTTCGGGCTGGAAGAAGCCCAGCCCAGCACCCAAAATGCGTTGCCCAGAACACATGCCGACTGAACGGGAACTGGCCATTTCTTGATGATCACCCCTCCGCCACAATGCACGTTTGCGTTTGTTGTACATCGTTTTGCCCTGCCTTTGCTCGACAAAGCCACGAAGCTGTGATGCGGTCTGGGGCGAAACTACACTCCGGTGCTTGACCACTTGCCACTGCAACACCAGCTGGCCTCGAGGGTTCCGCTGCCTTCCTTGCTAGCATTCTGAGCTCCGTATTGTTTTGGCTGTATTCGCGGTACTCGGGGACTCTTCATATGCTCTTCATATCTGGCGTTTGCAGATGATTGCTGAAGGAAAACATGCGGGTTCTCTACAACCTTGGACAGCTGAGTCCCCAGGTCAGCAAGCTAACGCCTCCGTCAAAGCCAATTTCCAGATGGTCAGACAGCAGGGTCCCGAGAAACGTGAGATGCTTCAGACTGTCAGACTCCACCAGCGGCTGGAATGCAGGATTAAGCTTCGAAGAGCAGCTCGAAGATTTCATGAAAATGCCCCGTCGGGGCATGCCATCACCTCAGCTTGAGCATCCACCAGGTTAATCAAGCGGTCACATCCGCCACTTGCTTCCAGGTATAATCGATACCTCGTTCTTGGAAAGCTCCCACCAGAGCTGCGGACAGGCACCCCTGCCAGGATGACCATGCGTATTTCCGATGAAAGGCCGATGAAGCACATGCGCAGGTGAAAACATTTGGAGACTGATGCAACCTGTTCAGAAGGACATCGTGCAGGCTTGCATTCTTGCAGAATCATATTCCACCACAGGGCTAGATAGCAGCATCAGCTTCTTGAACAATTCAGCATACTGACAAGATAACCAATGCCCGGAAGTGGCGATTTGATCGGGTTCTATAATTCAGGGTGATGTACTCTTGCTTAGTGGAGGGCTTCGACATCAGTCATGCCGAAAGGTTGGACGATTCAGAGAGCATGCCTGCCACAGCTTCGCCACTATTTCTTGATCATGTCTGGACCCGCCGCACACATGCGGGTGTTTTGTATTGCCACTTGGTGCTCCGTGTAGATTCAGAGGAATGCAGCGCTTACAAACTCGTTCAACTGACTAGCTTATCGACTTGCAGAAGGTCGATTGCTTCAGCAGTCGTGCAAGACGTGGATGGATGCATTCCAAGCTGATTCGTGATTGCTGGTTGACAAATGCGCGGTTTGGTGCCAACGTCGCAGGCAATGGCCGGTGCGAATTTTGGTTTGACAGTCATGTGGGGGCATGGAGGGAGGGTTGGACAGCGTTGCAGCTCGCTGTCTTGGAAGCAGTCTCATTCCCCCTGCAGGACCACCAAAAGTCTTCGCCTGTGGAAACCGGTGATCCAAAAACTCCACAGGGCCGTTTCGCATTTAACTCGCTTGTGTCCACTTTTCTGACACTCTCTTGCCAAGTCACCTTGGGCTCTGTGGCTGACAAAAACGTATGCACACAGCCCGCAAAACCTAGATGCGCAGGCTCAGGCTTGCCTTTGCTGCAAGCTTGCGCGTGCCTAGCCTTTGGCTTTCTCTCATTTTGCCGCTCTGGTCGAGGTGGAGATGTTGACATGCTTCGGCAAGCCGGTTGCGCATGTGACTTTGCGCAGCGCTACCGCAGCCGCAGCCATGCATCGCCTGTGCGAGCAGCCCAAGCCTGAGAGCGACGTGCTCGGCTAACTCCCGGGCAACTGCTTGGCCTGGCCACTCAGGAATCACAAGAATCTGACGGTTGCCTTTGCACCGCCTCGAAAGGCTGCTAAGCAAGTGCTTTCTGCGCATGTACGAAGATATTCGAGCGCTCCAGCTCGAGGCCACGACCACCCTGTGGCTAGGGAATGTGGACGACTTCGTGCCCCGAAAGTCGCTCGAAAGTGTCCTGGCCTCGCATGATCCTGAGAAGGCAGTGGGAGAATTTCTTACGGTGTGGTGGGTAGCCTGTTTCATATGAGGTATGGCAAAGTCTTACACGGCTTGCGATACCTTCCAGCTCGCACATGTGCATTTGCTACATTCGGCGAGGCAAGATGCGGCATGTTTTTCAACAAGTCGTTTTTTGTCGGACTGGTCGCAGAACATGCCGTGGGGAAGCGCCTGATCTCAGGGGTGTTATTTTCCGGATGGCGCCAGGTGAGTAGCTCGATCGCCGCTAGGAATAGCCTGTATGGCTTGGAGGTGCAGAAGAATCAGCTACCCTGGCTTGTTTGGCACCACATGGCTAAAAGTCTTGCAGTCCCGGCCCTGATTATACAGGTACCTGAACATCGACTTCGTTGATGATGTAGATGCTCAAGCCGCCCCACCGGATGTCAAAAGCTGAGAGCTTTCATTTTGTTGGCGGAAGTTGCTAGGTGAAATTGGGGCCTTGCCGTGCGGCTCAGGCTTGGGGCATGTGGGGTGGAGGCGCGCCAGCTTGGCCACCGCCACCCTGGGGTATGCCCGGCATGCCGCCGGACTCTCAGTGTTGAGATCTTGCAGGTTGCCCGCATATGCCCCATCCGCATATGATGCAGGCCTTGGGGCCATCGCCCTCCGTGGGCACCGCGCGAGCCTTAACGAGAGGTCTCCGCAGCGGCTGGGAGCCGCCAAGCTTAGGCCCCCTGGCATTGCCTGGGGCATGCCGGGTGGACCGGGCATGCCCCCAATGCATGCTGGGCCAAACTGGCGTCCGGACCTCAAAGTAGCATTTTCCCTTCCACATGCAGTCAGCTCTTGCGATGGTGCAGCGAACCAACAAGTCGCAGCGTACGCTACATCTGCATCTACAGACGGCTCCGACAGGGAGCGACTCTGAATCACCCAGCAAGTAAGTGACTTACCACGAAGGCCCACAACAGCGCACACCGAAGAAGATAAACAAAAGGAAGGTGCCAAGAAGAAGGTCACCGGCCTGGTGTACACGCATTCACGGATGGACTCGCGCTGAAGGACATGGCAACTGCATCCCAGGTGCAGACATGAGGCCTCGCAGGCAGCTGCAAAGCGCAGCTAGAGATGGAGACACCCGAAGTGAAGTGAAGCACAGCACACGATTGGGCACACTCGCGGGATTCTCGGGTTCAGGGAACAGCTGGAGGCTTACACACCACGCGG